TGAAGATGAAGATGAAGATGAAGATGAAGATGAAGATGAAGATGAAGGTGAAGATGAATATGAACATGAACATGAACATGAACATGAAAATGAACATGAACATGAACATGAACATGAACATGAAAATGAACATGAACATGAACTTGAACATGAACATGAACATGAACATGACCATGAACATGAATATGAAGGTGTAGATAAACATAAACATAAACATTAAAAGCGATAGAGACAAAGATAGAGAGGAAGAAAGTGATAGGGATAAAAAGGAAATACAACTGAAGAATGTGAGATGTTATATTGTGATATGTTCAGTGGCGGATTTAAATATTTGCCGCCCCTAGGCAATTCATAACTTGCCGCCCTTTTTTCACGAAAAAAAAAAATATATATATATATATCAAATATGATTGTTATTGTCAGTGCTTTATTACAATATAGTTCGTTAATAATGAAATACATAACGGAATTAACAAATTCGACATCGGCATGGATAAGGTATTCAACAAAAACCCTCTTTCAAACACTTCTTTTTCACAGTTCTTTACGTCTTGATTTTTCAGCTGCGAATTCGCGGATAATATCTTCAATTCGCAGCGTAATTCTAATTTTGAATTGTATTGAAAGAGATGAATCATTAATAATATTTTACAGACACAAACACGATTTCAAGTGCAGCTGAATCCAAATAAATTTTTTTCTTTTAATTTAGCTGTCTTAAATTTTGCCGCCCCTTAATTCTGCCGCCCTAGGCTTCAGCCTATGTTGCCTGTACGATAAATCCGCCACTGGATGTGTTATGCTACATATGTTATGTTATTGAATCTAATGCTATTCTATGTTATGTTATGCTAAGTACTAAGCTAAACTCCCCTCCACTTAACCCATTCCAACAAATTTTATTTCAGCTCAACTCAACTCACATAAACTATCCTTAATTTTAGCGGTTGAATTTCAACCGCTGGGCGAACACTAGTTTGCATAAAACCGCAAAACCCGTCGAAAATAACAAAAAAATTTTACTTAAAAACATTACAAATATTAAACAAAAAACAGCATGCACTCACTTTTGATTGCCAGTGTACATACAAATTTGTGTTTAAAATTAACTGCTTATGAAATAATTTTTGTGGCATGAACATATACATACTTGCGCTTT